ATGAGATAAATAAAAAATTATATTATTTTATATGTAGACTTATTTTTAAGCACCGATACAAAAATGAAAATCCGCGGGAATGCCTTGTTTCACCACTATGCAGTGTTCTTCTTCCCGACCTTTGACACAGATCAATGAATAATATCTATTCTTATCAACTTAATATCGCTATGGTCAATAAATGCGAAAATTAAAAAAAAAATTGTCAATAAAGCATAAAAACGACAACTAAACCAAACCAAACCCTAAAAAAACAACCAAATCAAACCAAAACAAATAAACCCACTACAACAAAACCAACTACAACCAAACGAAACCAAACCGAAAGTATGCAAAAAAGTTGAGAATACTATGAAAAACTTCATGAGAATACTATAGAATACTATGGAAAATATTGAAGATTTTCTATTACACCGCCCTTATGATAAATTTCCGCGGAAATAGTTATATAGAAAAGTTATAGCAAATTATTAATCAAACAAAAATATGTAATTTTTATCTTCCTATCACATTTAGGCACTTCTAAACCCGGAAAAATCAATGAAAATTATTGTGATAAAAATATATTTTCGAATAAAAATTAGTTCACGTCTTTATATTAAATGTTTTTACGTCATTCTATAATGAAAAAAACTATTAAAAGCACCGTAAAATTTTAAATTTTAGTTAATAATAGAAAAATAAAAAATTCGAGTTTTCTCAAAAACAAAGAATTTCCGCGGCAAAAATCAAATTATGTAGTGCTAGTTTTCTTGTATAGAATCATCCTATAAACCGATATTCTATGTAACTGATTTCGGCTAAACGAAACTTGAGCCAAAGTCAGTTTTGTGAAATCGTCGTTTTTTTTCTTACCCTGCATATACAGTGTGGTCATTAAAGATACAAAAATGTTAGTTATTGTAAAGCCGGACTATGACGACTCGTGTTGGCAAGTACACCGATATTTGCGTACTTGGCAGGTATACCAACTTTGTAAACCACATGTTTTTCATTTGTAATCACGCAGCGCGGCGACTGACAAATGACTGCACAAGTACACCACTTACACAACATGGCAAGTATATGCCAATAACAAATGTTTGTCAAGTACACGAGTCATCTTTAGATGTTTTTAAATACATTTTTCAACTGTTTATCAAATTATATTGATTTTTTTACTGTTTCTAAATATTATTATATGACGTAAACTCCGAAAAGCTTCAAAAGTCAAACGATTTATATATTGTTTCTGACCTGTGTTCGGTTGACTTTTTCGCATTAGTCGAACTTAAAATTAATTAAATTTCTTGTTTATCGGGTCGCTTTATCTTTGAAATTTGCCATTTTATTCTGTTGGTGTTGTACGAAATTCGGAACTTTACTATTTTACAGCTTTAATTTTCAAAGTTACCAGCCTGACTGTTTGGTATAATTAAAAGAACTTAATACAAAAGGGCGGTTGTTTAACTTTTATTTTTTATCCAAAAAAGTTTCGTCGAAGGGAAAATAATGTTATGCCGTTGTGTTCGAAAAATTTTCAATGTTTTTTTTTTATTTTACAGTCCTTTAATTTTTTTTTATTTAGTTTATTTTAAAATGCGCCTCGCACAAGGATCCGCATAAAAATTATATTGAAAATGTAGATATTTTATTTTCTGTAATCATCTTTTATGTAGGTACTTAATTAAACAAAACACATTAACTCTGTTATAATTAGGCATCTAATTCTGTATCAATATCTATTCTTAAATATAGGAAAAATAACACCCTTTTGTTATTAAGTGGCATATAACGAGGAAGATAATTATAGAATAATAACTAAGAATCCAATAATGATACAGTTCGGCTAAGTGTGAGATAATGTACTTTTTAATTAATCTATGCTAGTAATGTATACTGCTGCTTAATTAGAAATAGATTAGGGAAAAGAAACAATACACGGCCCTGTTTTTGCATTGAAAAAGTTATAAAAGTCAAGTCGTTAGGTTGATAGGAGAACGTTCAGGTGTTCCTTCATTATTTCTGTTAATCAGTTTTTTATCCTCATTTTATTTTGTCGCTGTAATGTATTAGATCATTTTTTTCTTTTCTTATTTATTAACAAACTTACCATTCGTATTGTTATTGATTTTTGTGTTATTCAGTATTCTATATTTAAAGTAAAGTCTGTCCGTCTGTCGAACGCGTCAGGGAAGAATATTGTCAGCTGATATTCAAACAATGAGAGAAAATACAATTTACCTGACAACTCTCATTGTCAGATATTCCCTCGTTAGAGAAACTTTATATAGGGTGTCCCAGAAATAAGTGCAAGGGTTTTAACTGGTAGTATAGTTCAACCCCAGAAACACGCCTATGAGGTTTTTTTCGCGAAAAAAAAAAATTTTAATTCGAAATTTTTTGAAATTTTTATTGGAAATGTTTTTAGTTAAGAAACATAATTTCTTGATAATATGGCAACATAGGTATTAGATTAAATTTACACGAAAGAAAATCCAGAAAAGATCCAGTGGTTCTCAAAATTTTAGCAAAAAAATCATTTTTTTTTAAATTTTCAAAGCAGAATAACTCTGTTATTTTGGACTTATTTGAAAAATGAAAAAGAGAAAATATGTGTCATTTATCGAGATCTACCACCCCTTAAAATACTTGCACTTATTTCTAGGACACCCTGTATAAATAAATCCTTAATTTTCTTTTCGACCAATTAGCGATTTTGTCGGCAATTTAAACAAAAACCTTAATGGAAAGCCTATAGGCAATAAGCATATAAGCCTATCAGTAATGTACGCTTTAAAAATCATGTATAAATGACCACAAAGTAGAAGAAATTACGTTCCAACTAAGCCCTAGGTTCGCTTGTTTGATTATAATGATGTGTTTACGTCACTAAACCCATCGATTAGTCGGAGGAGGTTTATCTAAAATCTAGTTAATTTATAGACCAAAGGGATCTATAAACCATTGCAGTATTTTATATGCAAATGTGCTGATTAGCCCTCTGGACATACTTTGATGGATTACCTAAACTTTCTGGCCATTGTAGTTAACAAGGTGTATAATTACTAGCCCGTGCGGTATAAGGCGGCCCTAAGCAAACGGATAGAATAAACTTGTGTGATTTAAAGTTGGAATTAAGGTTCGCTCTGCCAATTTAAAATATTTGTTACGGTTCCTTCCCAACTCTAATAAAATATTGCGGAATAGGTGTTAATCACGGAATGTTTTATGGCGATACAACATCAGCGCGATCCAGAAAGTTACCAGATGCGCTATTCCCACATTTTTGAACTGGAATAAATACGAAAATCTTAGGGGTTATATAAAGGAAATAATTTCGAGTTGTTATAAACATAAAGCAAAAGGCTTGTTCGATAAAATCCATCTGATTGCATTTTTATAAGTAAAAAATTACGCATTACTCTCTTATTGTTTTTTAATTCTATTAAGCTTTTTTTTGAACTTTTTTTACACCTACAGTTATTACCTAACATTAGGCGTAGAAATAATATTTAAATTTTAACGTTATATTTGACATTGATAGTGGATCGTTTGGTTGTTATCTTCATAGTGATTTGTCTTCAAGTCGCTGCTATAAAACAAAATTACAATATAAAACCATCTGGTACCATTATGACTAACAAAAGATGGACCACCATACTTCGTGGTGTATCTTATCTGTAAGTTATCTGCCCACAGCCACTTAAGGGGTCTAATTCTATATACATAAGCTCTGTGTTCTATCTGTATTATGCCCCTATTTGTTATTTTAAAAGTTTATTAAGGAGAATTTTATTGAAGTTTCCTTACAAATTCTTGTTTCATTGGTGTCTTTCCTTGTAGTGTCTGTTTTAATTGGGAAACAACCGTATGCTAGAAAAGAAAACGGCATCAGCGATGGCTATGAAATGAAGATCGATGCCATTTTATATGTAAATTTATATGGGAGATGTCATTGATGTTCATTTCATAGCCATCGCTGACGCCGTTTTTTATTCGATCATACGGTAAATAGGTGGGGTTAATACAATTGTACTGAAATACTTTTAATAGATTATTTGTACCTTTGAGGAAGACATTATTTATAATTTTTATATTTTCATTTGTTTCAAGTTTAAATTAATGGTTTTCGATGTCGCGACTTTGAAACGTGAGTAAGCAGTTAAAATGATTTAAACCAATCTCTTGAAAACGAAATATAGTAAAGGTAACTGAAAATAAATAGAAATAATTCAGAGTGTAAATAGAGCCCTATCGAAAGGACAACGGTAAATTTCTGCCTCTTTTGTCGACTAAAATCAACTACATTTATAGCTCTGACGGGCAACTACTTTCTTTACAAATGTTTACAGTACCTATCTATTTTGTCATTTTAAAGGCGTCTGGATTTTTATCTCTCTTTTACTTAGGTTTGTTTGTTCACACGATATATTTTAGCTTTAAATATGTTTATTTTCGGATGGTTAATCAAGTCTCTGTGATCAATCTTATTATAATCATTCTCATCATAGTACATATTTTTTAAAACAAGTATAATATTTTTAATTACTCTATTTCCTTAATAAATTAAATAAATATTAGTATGTCTATTATCATTTAACCATGTAAAGTCGGTATAAGTGCTAGTGCATTTATTATAATTTAATTGTAATTGCTAGTAAGAAGTAAAAATACTCCAAGATAAACCGTACTCTATGGAAATGGTGGAGAAATTCTTTCAACATTTACACCTTCATGCGACTGGGTGAAAGCTTTTTAGGCCTTTCCAGAAAATACCAGAGACAGAAACATGACAGTTCATTCGGAATTTAACCTCTAATTAAAACATACCTAATTTAGATTCTAGTGGGGTATTTAGCGAGTATCTTTCACTAAGTACGAGAGGCGTCGCACTAAATTTAAATAAATAAAATTTGGCCACGTCACTTTCCACAGCTTATTATCAAAATATAAAGCCTTATAAAGAATATATATATAAATATGATCATTCCACATTAATATGAATCATCTTCTTGTAGACATGGATGGGAATCATCTTCTTGCGGGGAGGAAGAAGAAAGCATAGAGCATCTGCTGTGCCACTGTCCGGGACTGGAATACCGACGCTGTCAAACTTTCGGGCAAGGTTTTTTTGGGGGTATCGCAATATAACAGGGGTATAACAGGGGTATCGCAATGGGCCCAAGACCTCCGAGTGATGGATAAAACAGGATCTCAAACTCCAACAACCTCACGACCAGTGATCATTGATTGTCTTAATCATATGATGACCAGGGCCCAATCACAAACTCTATATTTACAGTCAAATTTTAGTACATAAGGTTAGTAGAGATATAAATACATAATAAAATTATATAAGGATTCTTGCCACTTAACTGCTGATATAGAAATTTAATTCTACGCTGTGTTTGTCATAATGTGGATCAACCTGCTCTCACTATCGGTTTCGGAGCCCTATTCCATCACCAGGTGAGCTTGGGCAGATCCAGAAAATGACAACCACAGCGCAGAGATAGTTAATTCCGACTTGTCGGAATGTGTCGGTTAGATATTAAGTCCCGAACGGGAGATAGCGGCCTGCGTGAAATGGTAGTACTTTCGTACCACCGAGGCGCAAATATCGATAGTAAAAGGATAGTTAAAGGCTTTTTTCAGGCAAGCCAAATTATAAAATAGAAAACAAATTTCTTGCAGTATAGGTATATATAATAAAATTATATAAGGATTCTTGTCACTTAACTGCTGATATAGAAATTTAATTCTATGCTGTGTTTGTCATAATGTGGATCAACCTGCTCTCACTACCGGTTTCGGAGCCCTACTCCATCATCAGGTGAGCTTGGGCAGATACACAAAATGACAACCACAGCGCAGAGATAGTTAATTCCGACTCCGAAAACACTGAAATTTTAGTACTAAGAGGATACGGATTCAATTCCCTAACAGAATTTTACACAAAAAATATGTATAGAAATTCACTTGTAAAGAAAACATGAAATAAATTCTTAGAGAGTCTTTTATAGTTCTATTTATATACACGTACACATTTGTACATAAAGCATAGATACTTCGGTTTATTGTAAATATCAAATACTACAGGGAGTTTGAAAATAAATACAAGATCCTTGAATCTGCTATTATCGCTTGAGGCGTTTTAGATATTGGGACTTTTGATGTTTTTTACTCTCCACTAGAAGTGGCTGGGGTATTCAAGTAAATAGATTTTTGGAGTGTGAAAAATATATATTTTCGACTACTCAGTTACATGTAAAGTATACACTATTAAATTGTATGGTTTTTAACTTTTATTTTTTCATTTTGAAAATAATTGCAAAAGATAGTTAAGCAGTGAATATTCAAAAACCTACTGTACCATTATAATAGTGACAAAACTTGCGTAAGTTTTCAAAAATGATTGTTACTTACATGTACAGAGCAGCTGAAAGTCGTTAGTTTTAATATCGTCTCGGAATTCGGAAAATCCTCTGCTTTCGTTGTTTTTCTTTGGCGGTGCACGCCTTTTTACTTTATAAACATTAACTATAATGGGTTTCCTCCAAGACATGGCATTACGTGACTTAACTAATAGCTGTTATTTGCGTGTTATATAGATAGTATTGCAGCTAGTTTTACTCACACCGAACTTTAGAAAGTTAATTAAATTAGAGAGTACTTATTTTGGAGTGTCTCGTAAACTGGGAAGGGGCCTTACTCGAAAGATCTTGATAGAATTACCTGGGAACTGAAGGTGATATTAAATTTTCAGTAAAAGAAATTTTACGTCTTTTTAAACTCAACTAATAAAACATTTCATCTTTATAAGTAATTTCAATGGTTTTCGGTGTATAGCATTGAAAAAAAATTCTTTAAATCTAATTGCTGTTATTCTCATTTATTTTCAACTCTATTTAAACTTTATTAAATTGCATGCTGTAATTTCCTGTTTTCTTTTTATTCTTACTGTAAGGGATATAACTTTTAAAAGATTAAGTTTATATATTTGAAAATTAGAATACTACAAATATTGAACCACAATACATCAAAAAACTTATTTTAATCTCTGTTCCACAGGTAACATTCTTTATTATCTGTATCTATACACTTGTTTCTTTAACCAGCAGCAGATGAGAGAACTGTTTATTAAGACAATGTGGTAGATTTGTTTAATATACTGTGGAAATTCAAAAGGGTATTATCCTAGTACGAGTTCTTTATTTTGAAGTATTCATTTTTAACACAAATAATATTATAAGTATTTCTTTTTATTAAATAATTTATGGTTCTGAAAAGAACTGATTTTTTTTGAAATTTTGCTTCAAATAGAAACCACAGCTGTTTTGGAGTTTCTCACTAGCTAATACGGAAATATAGTTGGGAGGTAACTCCAATAACTACAAATTCTTCTTTTTTGCTTTTCATTTTGTTCTCTGCTTTAACTTGTTAAAGTGTATAACCAACCGTTTACAATATATAATATATAAACATCATAAGCATACAGACATTTTTCAAGCGTTGTGAATTTTGAAGAAATTTGTATACTTAAATATTAAAGCGTAAATATATTTCTTATACTTAGTAGATTTTTTTTTGTTTTATGAAACATGTTAGAACTTATAGACCTAAATTATTTTATTGTTTATTACTAAGCGTACAAGAATTTACATACGCCATTTTCTTTAAAGTATATTGCTTTTTAAATATAAGAGGCTGGCTGTTATGTGAAACTTAAAACATTCAAACTTGAAGAGAGGGTTATGATATAGTTACAAGAATTTAACGGAGGTTTCTCTTGTAGATCAGGTAACAGGATGCCAGCAATTCAAAACTTAGTTAGCAATACAAAGCCTAAACTTCGTACATGCCACAATTTTCACATGAAATCCTTTACTTTGTGCGCCATTCCCATTCTTAGGCCTTTAAGACCCACGTCCTTTACAAAAGATCGCAGGGCAGAAGAATTTAATTATTTACTCTTTTAGATTTGGAGATTCTTTTTAAAACATAGTTTAAAATGTTAATTAGGCAATAATAGAAATGCTTGGAGCGTAAAAATTTTGACTCTACCTGTGTATAACTCGTGAATTCCTACACTGGAAGAATGATTTCTTTGTCAAACGGGATTGATCAATATATAGGAGATATAGTTAATTATCGAATATATGTATATTTTTTTAATTGGAAGCTATATTATTGTTTTGTATTTACTTGAAAATACACACAGCACCTTCAATCATCCAGAGACCTAAGTCAAAATAATAATTCCTGTTGTGTCACTTTATGATTGAAGGTGCGACATGTTGTCTATGAATATATGCTTAGCAGTATTAAAACACAGATTTAAATGTTAGTTATATTTATTATTAAAAACGTAACTATATAAAAAAAATTATATTATTTTATTTTCCTTGAGGATGAACTGTATAACTTTTTCTTGAACTTCTGATCCTTGGACTGCTTATGATGGTAGTAGCTGAAAAAATAAAAAATGAATTAGGAAGATAGGTATAGATAATATGTAAGTATGTACTACTATATATTATACAGGTTGTTAATTTGTTTATTACTCGCGGCAAGAGCTTTATGGTTGAACTATCGCAACCTCGGCCCGCTCGTCGATAGACGACGCGACGGGACGAGTCGGCAGAAAACCCTATAAGTGCATGCGTTCTCAATAGGCAGTGTTGCCATTCTGTTCCCCTATAAGTAACTGTCCAGTTAACAACCTGTATACTGAACGTCTAAGACGCGTATGCCATATAGACATACTCTTAGGCGTTGTGTCTATATAATAGAATATGTCTCCATAGACAACATGTCTATATAGACATACGTATCTTAGGCGTTGTGTCTATATGGACATACGTCTATTAGGCATTATGTTTATATAGGCATATGACTCTTAGACATTCACTCTATATATTATATAAAGTGAATGTCTAAGAGTCATATGCCTTTAAGACTAACTATAGAGACGTTCTCTCTCTATATATATTGAAACGTCAGGTAGTAAAGATTTTCATATGAAATCCTTTACTATATATATTATACAGAGTAGAAATTTATATATAGGTATATTGTCACATAACCTTTAATATCAGTTTTTGTTAACTTAAGAAATGTAATAAATACTTTTTGAAAGTTGTATTTGTTTTATTTTTTGTTTTTTTAAATTTTTAGCGATTATGGCGCTCTCTGGTGGACAAACGCTAAACTAAAAGCACAAAAGTTGCGCCCTCTAGCGGTAAAAGGATGAACTAAAATGCGAGTTTGGCGCCCCCTAGCGGTAAAATGCTGAACTTAAGTAGCGAATGTTGCGCCCTCTTGTGTGAAAACGCTGAACTAAAATGACATGTGGCGCCATCTATTAGAGGGTAGCTGAACTACGCCTTAAAGTTTGAAAATTTACATGTAGTTCCGCTACCCTCTAATAGATGGCGCCACATGTCATTTTAGTTCAGCATTTTCACACTAGAGGGCGCTACTTAAGTTCAGCATTTTACCGCTAGGGGGCGCCAAACTCGCATTTTAGTTCATCCTTTTACCGCTAGAGGGCGCAGCAGTCGATACATCGATCGAAGCGCCCTCTGGTGTCAAAATTCTGAACTAAAAGGGCTTGTGTCGCCATCTATTAGAGGGTAGCTGAACTACATGTAAATTTTTACATTTTAGAGCATAGTTCAGCTACCCTCTAATAGATGGCGCCACAAGCCCTTTTACTTCAGCTTTTTGACACCAGAGGGCGCCACACTCGCTATTTAAGTTCACCATTTTACCGCTAGGGGGAATACTTTTGCAATTTTAGTTCAGCGTTTGGGAAACGCTATTAATCGTTCCAAAAACAATAAAAATAAAACAAAATATTCAAAAAAGCATTTATTATATTTCTTAACAAAAAGCGCGTACGTTTCAAGATAGATGTTATATTAAAGGTTGTATGTGATGTCTATATACACCTACGGCTCTTAGACGTTTCAGTCTCTATAGACAGAACGTCTATAGAGACATTTGGCTATATAGATTAATGTCTAAGAGACGTATGTCTATATAGACATGTCTACAGAAATGCATATCTGTATAGACTGAACGTCTAAGAGACGCATGTCTATCTAGACATGTTGTTTCTGGAGACGTATGTCTATATAGGCTGAACGTCTAAGAGACGCATGTCTATATAGACATGTCTATAAGATGTATGTGTCTATATAGACTGAACACATGTAGAGAAATATGTCTATATACAGTCATATAGACATACATATATAGGTATATCTATATGTCTTGTTAGACACTAAAATTTAAGTGAACAATGAATATTCTATAAATTATATTAATTATATTATTTGCAGATATTATTTGTATCAACTTCAAAATGTAATGTGGAGCTAAAAATTACAGCTAAAATCATTATATATTGGTGATATTGATAAAAAGTGAATTCAAACAAACTACCAGTTTGAACAGCCTTAAATACGAAATATTTGTAATTTTATGTTACCAAATGTGTGACCAGCTTTCGTTTTTTATTGTATTTTACATTTAAGTAATATAAAAATATCTGCAATAATATATACCGTATGCTCGAAAAAAAAATGAAACCAATTACCAAGTTACCATTACTATTCTAACCAGAGAAGGCTATGACTTACTTTACCACAGAAGAATTGAAACAAAATGGTTCTTTTCAGAACCACAAATTATTTAATAAAAGAAAGAAATTAACCCGTCAAAACTGGTACAGAGTTATTTTGTAATTATTTTATATTTATAACTAAAATGTACTTCTTGGTTTGATATTTATAAACTATAACTAAAATGTACTTCTTGGTTGATCATTATAACATAAAAATCTAAATTGTATTAAGAAAAGAAAACGAACTCACAATCTAGAAATAATATTTTCGCTTGACCTATATCCATAGCTGAAGTTCTTTATACTTAGTTAAGTTTTATATAGAGCATGAACTGTGTAAACAGTAAAAAAATAGTCTAGATTTTTAAGGTATGTTTCAGTGACATTCCAATGAATATATCTAAATTTAAGAAAAAATATTCTTAAAATTGTCCAGGTACAAATTAAGAGTGTGATATTGAGATAATATAATTATGGAAAGTAGTGTTCAACCAGTTGCTGTCTCCCATATCTTTGAAGAAGGACATGGAAATGATTCATGACTTACTTGAGAGAAGAGTTCAAACAAAACGGTTCTTTTCAGGACCAGAAATTATAAAAGAAAGGAATTAGCCCGTCAAAACTTGGACAGAGTTCTATACGTAATTATTTTATAATTACAACTAAAATTTACTTCCTGGATCCTTATAAAATTCTAAATTGTTAAACGGTTCTTTTCAGGACTACAAATTATTTAATAAAAGAAAGAAATGAACCCGTCAAAACTGGTACAGCATTCTTTATGTAATTATTTTATAATTATAACTAAAATTTATTTCTTGGATCACTATAAAAATCTAAGTTGTATTAAAGAAAGAAAACGACGTAAAAGTAGATTTCGCTTGACCTGTACTATATCCATTGCTGAAGTTCTTCATAGTGACAGAGACTGCTGATCACATTTAAAATTGATAGTTCATTTATGAATAGTTATGATATATGTATATATGTATGATCTTTTGTTAAATTACTAAATATAAATTACAAGATTTACAAATAACTTATGATTTGTGTTCACCATAAAACTATGAAGAATTTCAGTTACAAATAGAAAACTGGTTTATTAAGTTAGAAATTACCAGAAAGAAAATAGTCCTCGTGAAAAAATAGCGAAAAAAGTTTGTTCTCCATGCGTCCGTTGGGATCTCTAAATAATAGACATTGATATATCGATTATCGACTTGATTATCGACTCGTTCTACATACGTCGAAGATAATTTTGGCGAGGTCAAGCCCTAGACGTCATTACTTGACCTGTACTCTTTTATGGTTGTAAGTTATTTTATATTGAGTAAATTTACTTTTAGGAAAGAAAAGAGAAAAAAATATTATTTGGAAATAGATTTGCGTGTCAGGAAACGTTCTATACTGTTTAATCTTTCTATTAGTGTAAATTTTTGACAAGGTTTTTGTCAGTTTTTAGTAAATTACGTCGAGAGATTAGGTCAAAATTATCAGCGGTTGTCATTTATCAGCCGCCTTTGACACCGCATTTTTTCGATCATACGGTATATATGTTTATTATAGAGAGATAAAAACAAAATTTCTAAACTTTTTTAACTAACCTAAACTTAACATAGATATTCTCTATATTATCCAATATAATACAAGGTGATTCTCTCATTTTGTAAATGGACAATGTTTCAAGCATTATTAAATAAGGACTATACAGTTGAAGTGACAAATAAATTCAAAAATTAGTGATGTAAAAAAATTAGTAGAGAGGGATCCACAATACAAATACAGCACAATTTTTAAAGGGTATGTTAGTTCCACGTGCATGTTAAATTTTTATATCATTTAATTTTTCAATGAAAGAAATTAAAAGGGTATTAAGATTCACCCTCAAGACCCAACGTCTTAACATAGGATGTTATATCAGGGGGAATCCAAGATCTAATAAAATTAAAAATAAATTAAAAAAATAGATGACATACCCACACAACATACCCTTTAGAAATAATCATCAACAATTAGGGTTGCATCTAAATGTTAAAGATGTCATATCGTCGGTGAAATGTGTTAAACTGCTAAACTCCATTATTTCTAAAATTTTACAGGAGAGAAAAGAAATCCTACAAAAAAATAAACATGTAAGTACACTAAAATTTTAATAATATGATAAAGAGATAACAATAATATCTGTCGGGTAACAATAAAGCTAAATATTTAGTAAAAAATTTAACATAAAAATTATGTATTATACATATTATTATTATATAACCTGCATTGCTTGTAAAGTATATGAATGTGCAAAGTAGAAAATAATAATAAACTTTTTTTCGAAATCATTTTTTTTTTTCGTATGTATATCAATAAAGTCAAAAATAAATAAACCTGCAACTCAAAAATAAGCAAAACTGCAACATTCGTAAATAGAGAATATTATTGCCACGGTAGGTTATAAAATGAATAAATCAAATAACTAAAATTAATATAGCATATAATTAAACTGTATTTATTTATGTAGGTATGTAAAATATGTATGGTAATTGAAAATTCAACTGTTATGAAGCAGATAAGAACAGACTAATAATAAACTTTTCTATTTTTAAAATTCGTTGTTTGTTTATTACAAATCCTTTCCAAACAATATTCAAGCTAGTTTTCGTTTGTACTCTATGCAGATATATTTAAAAACTGTACTAAAGCTAAAATAGGATATAGGAAAAAATAAATATCAAAAAGTAATTAAAATAAGTAATTAAAAAACAGGATTTTGCTATATTAGTATTATATAAAAAAATTAATCTTACAATGGCCAAAAAAACATTTTCGAAACTGTAACCGTATGTAAATGTAATAAATTAATTTTACTAATTCACCTTTAATTATTTTATTTTTATGATATATCTAATATCAAAACAGTAAAAAATATTCATAATTTTGTCTTGAAAATAACTAACAATTTTTTGCATAATAAAGTACAAAATCAAACGACTAAATGCTAATTGGCTTATTTTATTTAAAAATGCTTTAAAGAACATAAAGCATATTTATTAAAAATCGGTAAATAAAATGTTTTATGAAGTTGACAAAGAACTCTAAAGTAGAATGTATTTACAAAATTTATTTTACTCTTGAATATAACGTAATATATTTCTATATGTATTAAGTATATGAAAAATATGACAAATGTACGACTGCGAAAAAGCTTCAGATTAAAAGCATCTTTTATATAGTTTTGAAATTTCTTTTTGGAAGCATATAATAATATCTCTATGTAGAACGATGAAAAAATATAGTAATAACTAGTAAATGAAAACTAATAAATATAAAATAACATATTAAGTAATTTCTGTAAATTTAACTGCAATCAAGGTGTATGTAAATTTTGAAAATACATTCGGCCTCAAAAAACATGCAATATAAAAAGTAAGTACTAAATATATAGTGAAAAAAATTAGAAAAACTCACCTTAAAATTAATCCATTCGAGTGTTTGCCAAAATACTGTTGCTATTACTATATACTGTTGCTTTTACACTTATACTGTTGTCTCCTATATTCTGTGATGTTTTCAGAGAAAATGGCGAAACCACACACTTAGCAGAAGTAGAGCTAATTAGCCCTGGCAATTTCCACCAATAATGCTTTTGTCGGAATTTCACCTAAGAACCGAATACCAGAATTTTAATATTAGGAGGCAATAAACCGTAATAAGTATATTCTTAAATAGCAACAAAAAATCTTAAATAGCAAAAAAATAAATATAGCGATTTTGTTAAAGCGGATTCTGACGACTCGTGTATTTGGCAAGTACGCCAATATGTGCGTACTTGGCAAGTATACCATCTTTGTAAACAACATTTTTTTTTTCATTTCTAATCAACAGCAAGCTTGGCGCTCACGCGGCGCTACGAGAGACAAATAATTGCACCAGTAAACAACTCACACAACATGGCAAGTATATGCCAATAACAAATGGTTGTCCAGTACACGAGCCATTTGAGCCCGACTAAAAGGCGGACTCTGGCTATTATAAGATTTTTATTTGTAGTGTGAGTGGTTTACTTGTGCAATTATTTGTCACTCCTCGCGCCGCGTAAGCGCCAAGCTTATTGTTGATTACAAATGAAAAAAATGTTTTTTACAAAGATAGTATACTTGCCAAGTACCCAAATATTGGTGTACTTGCCAAGTACAAGAGTCCGCCTTTACAAATTGGTATTAAGCCGCAAAGCTTAGCAACATTATTGTTTTAAAAATAATTGAAACAAAGAGAGAGTTAAGAAAAAATAACAATTTAGATTATTTGAATACTCTTAGTATTCATTAAAAATGATCAAATTATCCACTTACCTATTGATAAGAATTTCCAAATTCTTTCATGATTTTCTGGATAGATTTTCATGACTGATGGAATTGGATGGAACACTCTTCATCTAACACTTAACTCCAGTTCACTAATTTTCTCCAAAATAGGCTGAAAATACGCAAATAAAACCGATTTATTATGCAATATAGTATTGATTTTGAAATTAGGCTTACAACTTTAGTTTTACCGGTAACATGTTCATGAAAGCCAATTTATTTGATAATAAAATGTGCTGCTGTCTATTCTTAGTCTTCACATAGCTTCTTATGTTACTGGTATATCTAGAATTTAAAGAAAATAAAATAAATTACAAAATAAACCAAAACAAATTGAAAATAATACATAAGTTGTGATGCTTGAAAATATCACACATCACAACATCTAAAAAAATAGCTAGTCCAGATATTATACAGAGTGTCAAATATGGCTGTTTCTCAAAAGTGGCTCACCCCTATAACTTTTTAATTTTATCAGATAAAAAACGAAATTTCGTATGTTAGCATATGACATAAATTAGGATTGACTGAAGTATTCAATTATTTTCACTCACTTCCTGTTTCACAGAAAATGATTACGACATTTGATTTTTAAATGGCAGCCTCGGTATTTTTTACTATATTCGATAGAAAATGATACTCTGAATAAAATGATATATTATATGTAAACTTTTGACATTTTCGCTTAAACAAAATCGTATTTTAAATTTTAATCTAGAGTGCCATTAGGCTGTGTTAAAGATGACACTAATGTTTAATCAACGAGCCTTGGAAAAATAGTTTTGAGCGTGTAATGTTTTTCGTATCTTGTCCTGGGCCGGTTAAAAGATGCCCAAATCGTATTTTTAAGTAATTTTACGAATAAAATAAAATTGACGTTACTGATAATGATCGCTCTCACTTGAAGAACTGCAGATGTAGATTAAAAAGTGCTTCATAAGTTCCTATTTACTAAACTAAAAATTATCGGGAAAGAAAAAAATGCTCGTATTATAGAAGAAAATTTTCTACTGTCACTGATAAATCTATATAATTTCTGAGGGGTTATTTTTAGGTAGGTAGAAGTATAAAATATGGTTTCCACATATCAATGGCAAACCGAATCGAGACTAAAGTCCAGAAAAAATATAGGAAAAAGGTTTAGGTATAGTAAAATATCTGTCTCTCGCCCTATACTCCACGACAATAATTGATTAGTTCTTCACCAATTGCTTTAGTAAGAAATGTGGCAGTGTATTATAACAAAAAAGTTGCTACTTTTTCTGATTACAGTAAAGTATTCGAAATTTTTGTTCTTATACTAAAATTAAGTAAGTAAACCTACTTAAAAAAACTTTGAAATTATAAATACGAATCGGAGTGCTTGTTTCCTTGAAGACATAACCGAGTTAATTAATAAAATAAAGTTCCTGATTCCAATAAATGTTTTAATCAATAAAAAATAAATGGATCCCATTTATGTCGTAAATTTATTGAGAAAGTTTCGGCTTGCAAATTTAGTGTTCAAATTTTTAATTATTTCCAAAGTTAATACTGGTTTACGCCATTGTTTTTTACGAAATCATTTTAGAAAAATAAAGTTTGTTCTAATTTGATTAAAAAGGTTTAGTTTGTAATCTATGCTAGGTATGCTTTTTTAAAATTATTTTCGTGCATTTCCTCCACAAGTGTTTTTACTTGATCTCCAGAAATAAAAACATATCTAAGAATAACTTTAAAAGGCGATGCTTGACAAATAATTTCCAGTTCAAAAAAAAAATGCCGCAGATTAAATTGCAAGACACTAAAGGACACCCTGTATACTTAGCTCCTACCGACAGTTAAATTATTTTCTAGAATCATCCATCAATCTAATTAAATGATGCATAAAATTCTTTGATACCGGGTGCGTCTCAAAAGTGGCTCACCCCCTATAACTCTTTTATTTTCTCATATAAAAAAAACGAGATTTGGTATGTTAGTATATGACATAAATTAGGATTCCTATCGGGGTACAATAAAAAATATTTTTTTATTGTACACCTATCCCCCCTTAAAAATAATCAAAGTGAAAATATGTATTTCAAAAAAGTTCAATTTTGGTCTCAAATTTTTATTTTTTAATTTTGTATAAGGTGTTGTAGCAAATTGTAGCAACCCCATCAACGACAAGGTCTCGCATCTCCTAGAAGAAGAACTGTAGATTAAATAAGCAATATTTTATTTTGTTTATTTCTATAATAATACTGTTAAATGTTTTTTTTTTTAATATAGAAATAGCTTTACTTATAATCACAGTTCTTTGTAAACCCTTCATTAAGAATTCTCGAATTTATATTTTTGGGCAAATATAGACAAACCGCATTTATTTTTCAACTATGAACTAGACAATAAAAAATAAGGAAAAAGTCGAGAGCGAATATAAAATTTAAAAAATTTCAATTGCAAGAAAAAGGGGCGATAAAGCTTTGGGAAAGCGACAGCTATTTCACGACGCGAATAAAATTTATTTCTTATGCGATAAACATACGCGATTTTTCTTATTTGTTTATTGGCGCCGACGAAACTATAACCCTATATATTTTTTCGACTGGTCTGTTTGATTTGTCGAGGAAAAAAATGAAATACAGCTGAAATAGGACCTAGTCGTTTCTCCAGAATAAAAAAAGCAAATTTTTTGCATGTTTTACAAAACGCTTAGATCTATAAAATGTTCTATTTATTTATATTAGTTAGGGTTTTAATAATTTGTAGGGCTATACCAGGTGCGCCTCAAAAGTGGCGCACGTTTGCGAAGTTTTTTATAAATTCAGATAAAAAAAACGATATTTGGTATGTTAGTATATGACATAAATTAGAATTGATTGACGAATTCAATTATTTTCGGTCGCTTCCTGTTTCACCGGAAATGACTACAACTTCTGATTTTTAAATAACACCCCTTGTCTTTTTTTACTTAATTTGGAAATGACATAGCATTCGTCAACTTTTGACATTTTCAATTAAAAAAAATGGCATTTAAAATTTTAATTTAGAGTCTCATGGCCAAGTCATGTCCATAAATGTATCAATAATTTGACTCGTAATTGTTTTTTTTTCCAAATATGATTTTCCAAAAAAAACTTTTGAGGCGCACCCGGTATAGGGTTATTATGAGCATTTATTGATTAAAAAAAATAATATTAAAGTAAAATGAACTAGTATAGTTAACAATTTAAAATTATATAAGAAGCTTCCCCGAGCATAAGTTTTTAAAAAACGGCGTCAACGATGGCCATGAAATGAACATTGCTGTCATTTTATATGCAAAATTATACGGGAAAAGTTATTGATCGTCTTTTCCAAGCCAACCGGATGCCGTTTTTTTTTCGATCATCCGGTACTTATGTGCATTGTAAATGCAGAAGTAACTATCAGAATCATAGATATTGCTTTACTTGTAAGTCTTTTGTTACCCTTGATTAAGAATTGCCGAATTTATATTTTTGGGCAAATATAAGTAAACCGAATTTAATTTCCACAAATTCTTCCGCCAAATATGAATAAAAGATTATTTACATGGGTGCCTACCTACAGGAAAATGAAAAACCCTCTAGGAGTAGATTAAATAAGAAAATTCGAATGATTGCCGTTTTAGAACCTACAGATCATAAATAATCCATCATTCGGAAATTTGCAAAAACAGGGTGCATTTTAAAGTCCTTTATTATTATTACTTGCTCCCTTCCTGCTTGAATTATACATTAGCTTTCAGTTATATTGTTATTTTAATAATAATAAATTATTTTTTCTAGAAGTAGTAAATAATTAATTTTTAATACTAAGTATATAAAGATTTTATATTTCTAATTTAGATGTGGGTAAATTAATATTAAAAAAGTAGCTAATATAAGAAACAATTAGTACAACAAGGGCAGCCGCGGTCTACCAAACTAATTAAAAATTGCAGGAAATGAAAGGTTATTAAAACAATATTATTAAAGTTTCTGCATTTCTACCTAAACTCATTGCATATCTTCTATAGCCAAAATAAATTTCTTTCGCCCACAAAAATCACTTAAATGTTGATTTATGTTTAATACCAGATATTTAATTAGCAATCTGAAAAGAGCTAGATTCTCGATAGTTGTCACAATAACAGAGATACGAGGAGCACAGAGATACAGTAGCTCATAAACAGAGAGAGCCATGAAAATGTCGTTTACAGCATCTTCCGTTTGACAAAAAAGTGTTTGTGATAGGTTTGTACAAACCGCGTCCTCCTATTTTCACTAAAAACGGCCCTGTACACCCTGTACATTCTCTGAAGTGGCTATTATTATTGTATTAAATAAATATTATCAACACTAATAAATAAAATATATATGAAAAATAAATTCTTGTTATGTCGTCAAAAAAGGGAGGGAAGAATCATTCTTAATAAAAATACCGTTCTTACTTAAAGGTAGATCCCCACGATTGCAAGATGAAAACCCCAGGATCATACTGAAGGGCAATTTTTTATGCTCCAATATATCCTCATTTTATTGGGCCTATCTAGGTGACCATAAAACAAAAATGAAGAAGAGATTTTTTGCGCTGAACGACAATAAAACGGTCGGCTTGGTGTTATCTAAAAGAATTGTCATTGTTCAATGGTATTAATGGTAAGTAAATGTCGTCTTAACACATTTATATAGAAGGGGACGGTTCATATACACCCACAAATGTCAAGTTGTTCGCCATAATGAATTAATAACCTTGCTTATCCTGTTTTCCAAAGCCTTTTTTCCATCGGTATTATAGATAGAGGAAAATATTTCAAGACGGAGAAAAGACTTATTATTAATGGAGATATTATATTAAGTAGGAGAGCAAATATAAGGATTATTTTTTTATGTAATGATACACTGAAAAAAATATAAGTAATTTTACAAAAAAAAATTGATACATCATAGTATTTAGAAGAAACTTGTAAAAATAAAATATTTTCGCAGAGTTTCACAAAAAATGTAATTTTCCAAAACGGTTTATTAATATTTAATGATTATTACTAAACGATATATTATTTTGACAATGAGTTTTGTAAGTTTAAAAATTAAATTAAAACCATAATTCCAATCTTGTAGTAAAATTCTATGTTTCTAGACATATTCACAAAACTTTTTGTGAATTTACCATAATATATTTAGTTAAAATCGACGCCACACCATGTCTCGTGAATCGGGTGCAACTTACAGTGATCAAAGGGCGTCGTACTTAGAGGACGGACATTTTAATCAGTTTGTCGAATTGATGGATATCTTTGTGCACTCTGGCAAGGTGTT